CATTTTATGTGGCAGGGTACACATCCTACCTATCAAGTATATTGTTCGCTTCATCCAAATATAATGGAAAAGTACTTTGCAGATTTCATCTAGGGCAAAATGTCATCGAAGAGCTGCCTGAGTCAGTAGTGTTTAGTGCTATTCAAATTTACGTTCTACACGAGCATTAAGCTTGCTTATTTTATTCTATTTCCAACGGTCGTAGACAATAAACTCTTATGAAGTCTCATTCGTTGACCATATTTATTCCGATTTATTTTTTAAAGAAAATTTACAAAAATTCGTTTCCGCCGGCGGGAAAGTTGAGAAATTCCGTCAAAATCTCCCCGTACGTCAAAACTTTTGTATTCACGTATTTTATTTTGTTATTAACCGTTTGAGTAAAATGTTTTGAGGTTCATTTTCGGATAGCATGTTAGTTTACGCATAGTTATTGTTCTTTTGAATTATTTATATCCGAAGCACCTACTTCATTCTGCATTATTGTAACCTTTTCAGCCGTCGTTACTTTTATTTTCTGCCATCTTTTATTTTTCAATTAAAGGCCACAAAACCGCCCAGTCTTTGGGATATTGTGCTGGTACCGAACATTGACACTCTGAATGCTCTCTGGAGAGATCGAATCATTGCAGAAGTTGCTGCTGAGCGTATCGATGAGGTGAGAGCAGTCCACACAGCCCTTGCTCTTTTTATTTGCCCTGCCTCTGTTTAGACTCTTAACCATGGCTGGTGTGTTATCGCACTTTATATTTTTGTTCGTATATGCCCAAAGTTATCCGTCTTAGTCTGGTGATGCTAAAATTTAATACGAAAATTTTCGCTGATTACTGATTTTACCATTTGCAGAAGCGTCCCCTTTAGTGATACTGTGAAATTCTCCCTATTTGGAAGCCTACATATCAACTGCCGTGTGTTTTGGCTACGACATTTGCAGTCATAGTTTTAAGTCTTGTATCAACACATTTCAGTATTTTTTGTAGTCTGTCTAGGTTCTTGTGCCCACGTATTCGTCGCCTGTTTACCGTTCTTATCTTTGATTATAGACTGCCGGAGATATAATGTCACGGCTTTTGTGTGTTGCAAATACTTCCAATCGAAGCACACACATCCTCTCTGCAGCTT